CTAAGAAATGTCCTGTGCTTCTGTATGTATAAGATGGTGAGGACTTCTTCTGAACTTTTGGCATAGTAAAATGATTTTCTGTTTTATTGCTCAAACTGTCCATTCTGCTTCTTTCTTGAATTCATGCATGGTATAGAGTTAAATATGTGTCCAGAACTATTTTTTACGTTTTCACATAACTATCAACTCACTTAACAGTTGTGAATCAATAGTGCCAATCAGACTTCTGATGTAATGATATAGGTGTACAAAGTGCCCAGAAATATACACAGGTAAAGGCAATTCTAAATGGAAGAACAAGGATCTAATCTTAACCTCATGATTCTCCTCAATCTTAAAGCAGTATAATTAATCACTTTGACAAATGTTTTTCAAACAACCTCAGCAGAAATTGGATATAAAAAATGAGCTAAGAAACAGGGGAAGATTCACTTTCTTTATCTTTGAGAACTGAAATATATCATTCCTTTCTATAAAACACAACAAAGTTCCATTTGAATAACTGAGTATTATAATAATCACTATACTCTTAATAAATAAGACTGTATTACCTTAGATTGCTGTACCAGGACATTATGGGGTTTATAGGTTAAGGTGAAAATTTTTAAGGATATGCTGTATTGTTGCTCATCTACATCATGTCCACAGTAGGAAATGTGTTCATCCTTATCACCATCATTATCAGCCCATTACAGAAATCTCTCATATACTTTTTCTTGGCTCATCTCTCCTATATTGATCCCTGATACCCCTTAGTCAATAACCCAAAAGTGATTCGAGATTAATGCAAGAAAAGATGTGTGTCTGACTCAAGTCTTTGCAGAAAATTTTATTGCTGGTGCATGAGGTCATCCTATTGACTGTGCTGGCCTATGACAACTACATGACCATCTGCAAGCCTTTGAACTATGTAACCATTGTGAACTGAGGAGTGTGTGGCCTGCTAGTGGGAGTGTCCTAGGAAGGAGGTTTTCTTCATGCAACTATATAGATGCTTTTTATCTTGCCACTTCCTTTCTGTGGCTCAAATATCACTGATCATTTTATGTGAGATCTGAATCCTCTGCTAAAGCTGGTCTGCACTGACACCAACATTCTGGAGTTATTCGTGGCTACCAACAGTGGCTTCTGTATGTTAAATCTTCTGCATCTCCTCATCTCTTATATGTCCATTTTGTCCTCCTTGAATAACCACAGTGTGGAGGGGAAGCAGAAAGCCCTCTGTACTTGTGCTTCCCATATCACAGTGGCTGTCTTGTTCTATGTGCCATGCATATTTGTGTACATGAGACCTACAACTACTCTACTGATTGACAAAGCAATTGCTGTTTACTATACCATGATAAATCTTTTGATCTCTTCTTTGAGAAATGGTCAAATAAAAGATGCTATCAAGAGTTCTTTTGCTAGGGAAGTTCTATCAGGTGACAAATAAACGTGGCTTAAACCTAACATTGATTTTAAAGATGAAACTGTCAAAAGGATGACTTTTTAAATATCCCCCAAAGGAATACTTACAGAATGTAAAGGAATATACTGTCTTCATATGGTTTGCACTAATTTTGAAGAAAAAAGCTTAGAGTGTAAAACCCAGGATGATTTTTTTTAATACTGGAAAAATTTTGCCCAGTCACAGATCAGGTTCACTAACATCATTTATGTAGTTATAATCATACCTTTTCTTCTTTAAAAAATAAATTAGATAGCTGTAGTACCGGCTTATTTTAGTTAATTTTAAAGATAGGTTTTAGCTAATATTGTATGGAGGATCTTATAAGCCCATATGTTGTATGCTGATTAAGTACTTTAAAAATAACAATGCTCAATGTATTAAGAATTGCTGTTCTCCTTTGTCATTTAATTTTGTTTTACTTTTCTCCCTAAAATAAAAAAAAAACAAAGAATAAATTGTTACTATTAAGAAGTAATGCCTATAAAATTCAAAAAAGGTAAGCAATGCCATTATGCACATCTTATTCTATAAATCACTGTGAGCTGGAAAGTTCTTTAAACAGACCTGCTGAGTTAGAAGTCACACTATGAGTGATTTTACAGACCACACATTCTACTGTCATGGTCATTAGACATGTAATGAAGGAATGAATAATCTGACATTGTCATTATCATGATAAGAATTTTAATGGCACATTGTATATGGTAGTATATTCTCTGTTAATAAAATGGAAAAACATCCATTATTTTTCCTTGGGATGTTTATGTGAAATTTACGGTCATTTCATTCCAGGAACACTCTCCTATCTGTGATGGTTAAGCTTAATTATGAAGATGATTTAAATGAAAGTAAGCCAGAGGATTAGAAAGATCACACTGGGGTGTGTTCTGGTGGATCATTGTGACCCAATCTTGAGAAACATGACCTGCTACCTTTTTTTTACTTGTGTTCCTCTTCTCCACTTCCCTCGGTTATGAATTAAGTTGTACTATATCAGCATACAATCTCCCATTATGTCCTTGCATGGAGCTAACTGAGGATGAGCTGAATATTCTGAAACTATGAACAAAATTGATTCTTTTTGTTAAAATTGAACATGCAATGTAGTTTGAATGAATTGTAACAGAAAAGTGTGATCATTTATTTAATCAGATCACACTATGTGTTTTGGAAACAATGGAAACTCTTTTGCAGGACAAGTTTGGAAAGTTTTGGAAATGAAGGAGAGAGAAGCTCTAGAACACTATAATACAAGCCAAATCGGTGATGCTACTCATAAATTAGACAATCAGAACATTGATAAAATGTGAACAATAAGTGCAAAGATCAGCAGACTTAAGTTTAAGATAAGCATTGCATGAGCAGTTACACACTGCCAAAAATATTGATAATAAAATTAATAATCATACATTTTCATATTTCCCATATCTTACAGCTTTGCAGAAGATTGAGAATAAGGTAATGGACTGACCTCACAAAGAAATTTTAAGGCAGAAGAAAATTCATACTATGTCATATTTACCACTAGGTGCATTAAAACAGGTGTATAGTGTGAACTGGAGACAAAAATTCAAAGGTAAAACTTAAATATTGACCCAAAACAAACTGTATAAATTAGTGGCTAAGAGAGGCAAGGTTGCTAATGGGATGAGTGTCAGCAAAACCAAATCAAGTAATTTGTATAATAAAGAGAAAAAGAGGCCATGATTGCTTATCTCAAAAATCATCAAAATCCCACTCATTACTTGAGGAAAAAATGATTCAAAGTTTCATTTGGAAGAGTTCCTGGGGGCCCTACATGAGAAGCACCTCCCAAGGAATTGGCCATCTGGAATTATCACAAACTGATCAGATTCCCAGTCACTCAGTGTCCACTCTACTTTTTTCCACTGGGACCTGACTGTGACTCCAACCAACAGCAAACCTGCGCGGGGGGAGGTCATCAAGGAAGTGATGGTTTTTCCAATATGCAGAATGTAAGCAATATGGGTCAGATTTCTGGTCTGTATCAAGTCTTCAGGAGAATGCCTGGGAGTTCAGTAAGCAGATCTTTGAAGATGGTGGGTATTAATCTATTTTACTTTATTACCATGCACCTGGATGCTACAAAAGGATTTGCATGTTTTAATATTTGTCAAGTTTGGCTTCTGTCTTGCTTTCAAAAAATAGGAATTCCTCCTGTGTCCCTACACTTTTCTTTTTGAATGGGAGTGTCTACCCCATGTTACTGTTCCTTCAGATTACGGGACTTGATTTTATTTGTACAGAGTTTCACAGCTACAAATTTGCATTGAGTCTTAAAAGGACTTTGCCTTAGAGCTTTGAGGCTTAGAGGAAAGGAATAATTATCCTATAAATATGAACACAAGATATCAGAGTTTACTGTTAATATTTGGTTCCATTTCTTCACTAAAGTTTGCTTCTAAAATTACAAAAATCTGTATATAGACCAATATCTGGATTAAGTAATTTCACTCAATTTTCATTTTATGTTTTAATTCTCAAGTTCATTTTGGCCCAAAGATCAAAGGAAGTTTCTGGGAATATTGGTGTGTGTAAACAGACACCAGAGTTGTTCATTCACAGAGTTTAGATTGAAAGATGAGCACCTCATTGGACACTAAATTATGGTGAGAGTAATTTGTAATAATAAGACTGAAGTAACAGAAGCAAGCAATACCTGCAAAGGACTAGTATTCATGTTAAATTTAATGACTGGAAGGTCATGGGAAATAATGTAAACAGTTTACTCATTACCAATGAGGTCATAAGGTATAAATTAGAATGGTAGCATCAGCTTGAGAAGTAAAATGAAGCATAAAGATGTACTCTGGAAAGGTTTTGTTTTTCTATCTTAATGGTAAGTTTGGAGGCTTCAACTTAATTCCTGCGAGTGCGATTGACAGGGAGCAGTCACGGAATCCTGTTCAAATCTGCTCAAGGAGGCATGGGGTGCATCTGGGTTCCTGCTCTACATCAGTTCACAGCTATGTTCTTCTTTGACCAAATTCACTAATGAAAAGAGTAGATTCACTAAAGGAATTATCCAATCCCCCTAAGAGCACCTTAGAGACAGGTAAATCAATGTCACATGAAGGTGAACCTATTTAGTCCCCTTTCCTCCAAATGTGTCCTCCTGTTCAGTTTCCAAAATGCAGTCTAAACCCTGTAGATGCCATGTTTCCAGGTGAAGCCAGTCTTCAGTTGAAACTACAATATTTCTTCCTCTGCTTTAGTCAGTTTCCCTCACTCTCCTCTCTCATATTTTATTTCCATGAGGGCACCGTTCTGAGACTGTGCATAGAGGCCATGACATGGAGAGACAAAAAATAGTTCCTCAGATTGCTACAGCTTAAAAAGGAAGTTGAGAATTTCAAGGCATGGCTTAGATCTGGATTACAGCATGATTGTTGGACGAATGAGGGAACTGAGATGATGGAATAGAGAATTATGAGTCTTTGAAAGTGATAAAGACATCTCCAACTCCAGTCAAACTGACTTGATGTAATTAAGTGGGTAAAACAAACCTTTAAAAGTTGGGACTCTTACCCATGGTGATTATCTTTCCAAAGGGCCAAAAAGTGCCCTTTTCAGGGAAGTAGCAACGTGGAAGAAAATCTGGTATCCTGAGGTCACTGAGTGAAAGATGATGTTGTTTCATTTACCTTTCTTTAGATCCCTACAGGTAAAAAATAATATTGTAACTCTTAATTTTAGAGACAATCTACACTAGCAGCTCCTCTTGTGAATAGTGTTATCAACATGCCAGCTCAGATGCATGGTCACAGAAATTAATGCTTGTAAATCTCATGCATGCATGCTGGTCTCAGGAGGTGAAGAAATGGTTTTGTTTTCACAAGAGAGGAAAGTAGCTGAGAATGGAAAATGCCTGGTGATGAAATCAATCAATGTAAAAATATCCTCTCATGCTCTGTCTTGTTCTTTGCTGTCACTGCACCCAAGATCCATGTACACACGAATAAGAGGAAATGGCATTTGGGGAAAAGGTCTCACTATCTTCATCAGAGGTAGATTTCAAGGATTTTGTTTGTTTGTTTTCATTTTTTAATTTCCATAATTTCCATAATTTCCAAGCTTCTTGGGGAGTGATAAGGGGACAATATTGCAGGTCCTTAACAATATATTGTCAGTTGTTAACAATAAATTATCCACTCTTATCAGATAGATCAAGGATACATTTGCCTTTGGAAATACAGTGGTACTTCATATCACAAATGCTTTTATTTGAGAACAATTTGGCTCACAAACAGAAGCATTTGGTAATGTTTTGTTTTTGTTTTTAATTCTGCATCAGGTGACAAACATGATCATACCATCTTTTCCAGGTCCTGGAAGAAATCAATTTCATAAATTGAGGCACCACTGTATAATAGTCTCTGCAGAGTCATTTGCTAACAATTCACAGCTCTACAAGGCAATGCTGATAATCCTTGCTATTCATCCCCAGAACATCTCTGTCTTTCTCTATCTGTAACTAAAATTGTGTACAGAATGATACCCAAGTGCTATATTCCAAAGAAATACAAGACTTCTCTAATTGATAGATAGAAACCCAGGTATATATGTGATGACACTTATTAAGGCTGAAGTATAGTGACAGAATAACATAAATTTAGCACAAGTGAAATTTACTATGTTCGTCAAGCAAAGTTTCTGTGATGTTGCATCTCATGGAAAAATTCTGGGAGTTGACCATTGGGTAATAAAAAGGCAGTCTACAAAAAATACACTAGAAATAATGAGCTTTCATGGGCCAAAAGGTAAGAAAGTAATAAAAGTAAAAATATTGGAATATCAGTGCAGTTTGTGATGGTGTTGTTTTTCATGAACAGTTACAGATATGAAACAGAGACAGAGAGACACAGATACAGAGAGATATTTTGTTGTAGGTAGAGGAGTGCTGCAGAAAAGTACAAGATTCCCTCTGACAAGAACAAAGAAGTGTAGGACTATTGTTGTATCTCTCATGGGGGGCTTTGGAAAGTAGGCAAAAATGACATAGTAACAGCTTATTGAAGGAACATTAGTGTGTATGAAAAAGGAAGAGGGTTTTATTTAAGACTTAGGTTCAAAGGAGCAGAAAGTTGATGTAATGTTGTTGTTAGCATCTCTGAGCCTTGTTGGACCACTATGATGAAGATTCAGAGTTTCATGTGGGCAGAAACCCATCATCCTCATCTTTTGGTTGATAGTGAGTGACAACTCTCTTAGACTGATGAGATATTTGGTGTGTTGGGGATGAGAATGTGGTTAGTAAACTTATTATTTGGGATTTAGTATGGAGGATAAATTGTGGTGCTATTTTTGCCAAAGTGTAGGAGCCTTTCTTGTATCTACATAGAAGAAAGGTAAATGTTTCTTGGCCACTGACAAAGAAGTATCTGTGGAGTGGGCAGATTGGAATTGAGACAACTAATGTAATGTGAAGATGTTTATGAGTTCAGATTATACACACTACAGACAGAGTAGGATGATAGATTCAAGAGACGTTACCCAGCCAGAGATAGATTTAGAGGGCTAGCAATTTGGGCTTGTGGGTTTGTTATGGATTAAGAACTATTGGTCAACTTAATGCCAGCTGGATTACATGAGCAGAGCATTGAGCAAAGATGTTTTACTTGAGGAAACTTGCCAGGATAAATAGGTGGAAAAGAAGGAGGCATTGAGGGTTCAGGCGTTAATGCATTGTTGCCTGGAGGCATTTTGGGTTTTCTGAGTTGCTGTTTGAGGTGTTGGTTTTCCTAGAGGAGCTCTAGTCCTCAAATTGAGCATTGCTTTTTGGCTCCAAAGGGGAAGATGTGTGCCACTTGGTCTCTAAGATGAACTCATCATGGTGCTTCTTGGCATGAATGTGACTTGTTGTCATCAGAACTCAGGGCCTCCGTTTTGCTGAGAATGGCTGTTCTGCCTTTTAGGACAGTGCTGTTCTTTGTTGTGAGTGTGACTTCTCAGCTCCAGCATAATACCCTCATCTCACTAGCACAGCCCCTTCATCCGGCTGGCATAGACTTTCTGGCTTCCACTGCTGACCCTTGGGTCTTTCCGGCATGGATCCATAAAAGAGACTGGCAGTGAGCCCTTCTTGTGGACTCTGGACCTCCACTTGGACTTGTGGGAGGCACTGTCTTCAGCTCTGGGTTTTTATGTGGACTCATGTGGGACATTGTTGTGGGATTTAGGCTGTTGACTAAATATTCTATGTCTTTGGTATTGCGGATAGATTTCCTGCATTTTCCTGTGTTAACTATTATAAAAATAATATTATATTTAATATTATATTAAATAATATTATATTTAATATTATATTAAATAATATTATATTTAATATTATATTAAATAATATTATATTTAATATTATATTAAATAATATTATATTTAATATTATATTAAATAATATTATATTTAATATTATATTAAATAATATTATATTTAATATTATATTAAATAATATTATATTTAATATTATATTAAATAATATTATATTTAATATTATATTAAATAATATTATATTTAATATTATATTAAATAATATTATATTTAATATTATATTAAATAATATTATATTTAATATTATATTAAATAATATTATATTTAATATTATATTAAATAATATTATATTTAATATTATAAATATAATTATAAAATAATATTGTAAACTCTAAGTCTTGATCCTAATTTTTCTCTGTGTACAACCTCTGACTACAACAGGGTTAGTCTGGAATAAATATTTATTTGGAGTGACTCAATAGACCATTCATAAATCCTGTTGAAAAGGCAGTAAGAGCCAATAGAGAGGTCAGGATCATTAAGTATGTAAAGAGCTATTTGTAGAAATGGGGAAGTGTTGTTAAGAAGTTAAGATACAGATAGCAAAACAAGGGTTTGATGAGACAATGAAGATGAGTGTAGGAGACTGAAAAACAGAGATTGCATTTTGGGAAGCAGTATTTTGAGTAGTCAGAAACATCTTTACATTACTCTCAAGTTAAGATCAGAATCCCCAATTTTGAGTTTTTGAGAATAATAGTGGATGAAGAATGATAAATTTAAAGTGTAAATATACTATGAAAAGTGGCTGAATTATGAGTAATTTTTAGGTGAAAATTATTAACATAGTTTGTACAAAGATCATTTACTGATCTCATGCCTGTTGTTTTACAACCTCAATAGAGGTAATGGGAGGATTACATGTCATAGCAAGGTGGATAGAGACGTTTTTCTGCACATAAATATATTGGTTAGTCATAAACTGTGACTTTGCATCCAGTTCTTCCCAAGATATTTGTGGTTGTATTTAAGGAACACCAAAGGGCATGAAATGTAAGAGTGCAAAAGATCTAGTTTTTTTAGCTACTATGCTGGGACAGGGACCAGCGGATCCTCCTTGTTTTGGTGAGGTATAAATTATAAACAGTATGATGGAATGGCTGTGATATTGTTTTGAGTGTGATAAAGGCCAAAATTATAAAGGATTTCATATTGAATTGTTTAAGAGGATTAGAGAATGATTAAGAAGATTAGCTGAATTGGGTATTTTTGGTAAGACAAAGATGTGTGAGAGACAACAGCTGTGATGGCCACTCTTGAACTGAGGATTGAAAGTGAGAGGTGTTAAAGTTTTCAGTGATTTAACCTGTGTGATGTTGAACCAGGAAGAAATTCTGGTTATCTTGATTTTGTTGGTGTCATGAGGAGGACCAAGTGTTTTCACTTTTATGTGGACTGGAGTCCTGTGGGTTTAGAGAATTTGACGTATATTAGATTTGCTTAAGCTATGGGATTTTCTGGTTTTGGGTTATATACCAGTTGTGGGAAACAAAGGGTTGATATATTGTCATAGCAGGTGTCTCAGCATGAGAGAAGAGGGACATAATCAGTGGCCAGGATAGCCTAACAGCCCTGGAATAAGGTCTTTTGGCAGTGACCTGTGAGGTCTACAAGGTAGGATGGCCTAGCCACTCTCTGGTGGCCAGGAAAGCCCAAAAAGCCCTGGAGTAAGGTCAGGAAGAATGTCAGGATGGAGATTTTGTCTGATGTCTTCTGATGAATTTGAGTGTGGCCCATGGTGGGGGGGGCAGGTAGCTTCACCTTGTGTAGATTTGTCTGTCTCAGAACTGTAAGTGTTATTTAAAATATGAACAACCATATTAAGGTCTCTGTGGAGCTTGAAGGTCAAGTTCTGCCTTGTGGTTTGAGATCTGGACTATAGGAAATGTTATCTGTAGAATTAAGTAAGTATGTTGGAGCTTAATATTGGCATTTAAGATTATAAGGCAGGCAGGTTGGTAAAATTATCAGGTGGCCAGCAATATTGAATAAATGGTAGAAAAATTGTAAGAAGAAAATAGCCTCTCTTGAGTGGAACTGAATTGTAAAAAAAGTTTGAGTGATGCCGCGAGACTTTGGAAACGCGCAATGTTTAAGGCAGCTTGAGACACTGAGATAGATAGCACCTATAGGAAGAGAGCAGAGTTGTGCTTGGGGCGGGATGAGCACCACCACACATCAGGCAGGGGCAGGCTGACATGGAACATGTAGAGTGGGTGGGGCGAACGCCAGGACATAGTAGGCGGGGTTGGGGTGAGGTCCCACCTAGATGCTTACTATGACACGCTAAGACAGCGCAGGGAGCTGCGACCATGTAAGGGGTTGGGGCTTAGAGGCCT